CTCCTTTTGTGTTGGTCTGATGGCTTTCACTCTGGGTCTGTATGCAGGTCTCAGCATGATGGTGATGTGATCAGAGAGACCCAGGTGGGGGAGGGGGGGAGGCTTTGTATACACCCTTGCATGTGGTGTACACAAGGTCCAATGTGTTGTCTACACTTGTTGGAAAGTCCACGTTGGTGCAGATTGGGCAGTAAAACCTTTAAATCTGTGTGACTGAAGTCCCCAGCTGTGATGAGGAATCCGTCTGGGTGCACTGTCTGTTGTTCACTGATGGCCTGGTAGAGTTCATTCAGTGCCTCACTCCTATCGCTGGTGTTAGCAGTGGAGTACAACGAAGTAGGCCTGCCTTTTAATGTTTGACATACAGGTCATTTCTGAGGGAAGTGTTTTATATAACACCAACTAAAGATTCGCTTATCTTTTCAGCTGGCAGCGTTAATATCACAAATGTTTTCTGCGTCAAAGGAAGAAGAGAAAATGTCAGGCAGTGACGAAGTCGAGGAGATGGACACCGTGAGTATTTGTACTCTGGCCAAGTCTGCAAACTGTCTGACTCTAGAACCGTATTGAATACTACTACTAGTACCACAAGTTAGTAATAGTTTTTATTTATAAAGCGCCATTTTACACACCCAAGGAGGCGATTAAAGACAACTGTTAGAGGACATTCGGTATCTATGAACATTCACAGTGACCATCTTCAGTAGGAGTAATACTGTTTCAAAGGGGTTGTGTTCTGTAGTATCATCATCATTATTATTATTAATTTTATCTTAAATTTATTTATCCTGCCTTTCCTCACGGTTGGTGTAGACTCCAGTACCAACACCACCTGATGAGCCTGCTACGGTACGTTGTCTATTTGTGTGTTTCTAAATTATTAACTTTATTTTTAACTTAATTATCCTGTCCCCCTCATTGTTGGTGTAGTCTCCAGTACCCCCACCATCCTCTGATGAGCCTTCTGAGGTAGGTATTTTTGTGAGTGAGTGTGTATATGTGTGTGTGCTTACACTTTAAATTACAGATATCACTGTAAACAGTTTGTTGAAATCCAGGTTTTTATTGTAAAACTGGCAGTGACATGTTTTTTTATGAGCAGTTATTTTAGTAACTAACAGGTGAAAATAGAAAATCCAGGCCGAGTTCCAGCGAGTGTATGTGAAAATGAAAGTATGAAAATGAAAGCACAAGATCAACTTGCCAATCTCTGCCTGGGTTTGATTGTTTTACATCATTATCTTATTATTTATGGTATGTTAACCTGTTCTGTGTTGTTTGTTATCAGTACTGGATCATGAGAAGGCAAAACCTTCAAATGGCAAAGTTATCTAAATAACTCACCAGTGGGGTGGCGCTTGTGTTTATTCAGTTTGTCCTCAGTTGTTGTATGTTTGAAATTATTTAATATATTATGACGAAATGGCACACCTTATTTAATTTATACCTATTATTTATAAAAATGGTAGCCCACTTAAAGTAAACTTCTATTCTAGGTTTGTTCAGTTGACATTATATAAATAGAAAATCATTTTCAAAGCAGACCTTTCAGCTGGAAATCCCAGAAGAGTTGGTGCTATCCTGCATAGTAACATATGGTTAATGGTTCTGACACGTTTTCAGACCTCAAAGACGTCATCACAGGATGAAGAAGGAATTCAGCTTGTTCTCTCAGTGAAGTGGTCAGAGAATGCTCCCTCACAGAAATTAGAATTCGAAATGCAGCGACTTCTTCAATCATGGTTCAACATCAGGAAAAGTGGTACAACCTGCTCAGTTGTAAAGATCTTAGAAGATGGGCGTGTTCTGATAAGTCTTAAGTCTCCTCCAGGTGACTATGAATGTTTGAGTTTTTTGTTTGTTCCAGTGACCATAAATTACCTGTCTTCATACCGACTATTTATCTTCGTTTTGACAGTTTTCTGTGTTAATATTGGTCTTGAAAACTAGTTCGTTTTGGCAAATTGATTTTGTGTTTCTTCTTATTAAGCCCTGGTGGAGCTTCAGAAACTGAATGGAGAGACACTGAGTCTACCAGGAGGAAATAAATCGTATAGAGAAAGAGAATGGAGTTAAAATCACAGCAGAAGTGAAGGTGACACTGCCACCAGAACAAGATGGAGACCCACACACAGCTTTGTCCAAGTTCACAGACCTTGTCCAGACATGCTTAAATAAATCCAATGCCTCAATCGTTCCTCTAAAGTACGTAGATCCAGAAGAATGGAAGGACGCACTGAAAATCATCCAGAAAACTGAGAACAAGCTTTTGCTCACTCTGTCTTCTGAACACATGACCATATTTGGGCCAAGCCAAAGTCAAGCAGCCTTCAGTAAATCTTTAAATGCAGCACAGAAAACCTTTCCAAACACCAGCACTACTTTTGGAGAGTCTGCTTGGGCATCACAAGATGCACCACTGAAGATTGGCATGAACATCAAGGACCCTCTTGTTAATGACGGGATAACCATGGAGCAGAACCACTGGAGGCTGATGACTACCTCCTGCAGTCGGCACGTAGACGACATCAAAGCAAAGTTTGGTGTGGATTTTAAAGAATCAGACAACGGTCAAGGCAAAGTCACTGTCAAAGCTTGCTACAACAGATCTGAAGGAAATGTGTTGATGGAGAGCCACGCTGTCAGAGCTTTTCTTAATTTGTTCCAGAGGTTTACAACAACACCCATGAGCCTCACCCAACAGTATGGTGCCAGTGGGTTCACTGACCCCTCAAAGAACTTGAACAACAACTATCAGTCAGAAGGTGCCTCCAGTGGACTTGTGTTTAATGGACAATCGATCCACAATGAAGAGGGAGCAACAGCAGGAGGCAGTGAAGACGACAACTGCCCTATATGTATGGATAAATTTACTAATAAGAAACAACTTAAATGTAAACATGAATTTTGTGAGGAATGCCTGGAACAGGCAGTGAGTAGCATGGGACCCATCTGTCCTGTATGCAAAGATGTCTTTGGTCCAATAGAGGGAGACCAGCCAGATGGAAAGATGTCATGGAAGTCAGTTCGGTATTCCCTGCCTGGATTCCCAGACTATGGCACAATAGAGATAGACTATAATATTCCATCTGGAATTCAAATGGTAATTTTAAATATTAAAAAAATGCCAATTGTGTTTTAATTGTATATACATTTTTAACATGGCTGCCAATTCTATCCTTAATTTTCTCTTTGCAGGAAAAACATCCTAATCCTGGACGGACCTACTCTGGTATTAGCAGAACAGCATATCTTCCAGACAACAAAGAGGGCAATGACGTGCTGTGTCTGTTGAAGAAGGCGTTTGACCAGAAACTCATTTTCACTATTGGGATGTCCAGAACGACTGGGTTGGATGACCAGGTGATCTGGAATGACATTCACCACAAGACGTCCACAGGAGGAGGACCAGAGAAGTACGATAGCCAAATGTCTTTTTTTTTCTTCACTATATAAATATGTATATTTTAGGGTCTGCTGAAATGTAACATATTAACCCTTTAACATGCTCTGTTTCCACAGTGTTGGTTATCCTGACCCTAACTACCTGAGCAGAGTCAGAGAGGAGCTGAAGGCTAAAGGCATCAAGTGAACACTGATACAGAGTGGCTTTGGAAGGTTGTAGTCACAAGTTTAATATCACATTCAAAGATTAAGATGATTTTTTTTTAAACCAACTGATGCACATATCATTGTATGCTATTTCTTTGTAATTTTTCATTCTATCATTAAGGGTTGATGTTCATTAGACAGCATTTACAGCTTGAGTTAATCGTTTGATTAAGCTTAATTTTTTTTTCTTCCCAAATTATAACTTGATGTGCATACATTAATTTCACTGTCTGCAGTACACATGATCAGATTTACTACTGAAAAGAAGTAAATGATTAAATCAACCTACTCTTCAGACTCTTTTTCTTTAAAAAAAGACTAATTAAAAAAAAAAATCTGAAAATGCAGTGATTTTGCAAAAACGTTCTTCAGGTAAAGTGATTGTACTTCTCTCTGAATTAGACGAATACAACAGCATAAAATAACACTTGCTGACAGCTAAGCAAATAAAAACTTGTTATTGTAGTAACATTAAAGATTGGTGGTAAGCTTCACATGCATTAAGATATGGCCGACACATTTCTGACAGAAGCAGCATTATGGATCAGAGGCTGAGCGTAAGGATGTGTCAGAGCGACCAGAATGGTAGCATTAGCAGCAGCAGGGCACAGAGGAGGGTGAGAGATGAGAGCTATTTAGGAATAGAAACTCTAAGGACCAAATGTAATGCAATTAAGACCAAGTCATTACAAAACTGAATGTACACACTCTGATCCTCTAAAGGTAGAAATATAAATCTACTCACAAAGCCTGATGGGCCTTATCTGGAGAGAACTGACTGGAAAAATACAAAGACAACTGAAACACCCATATCGATCATTTCTCTCCCTCCCCGTTTACCATAATCGTATAATGGCCTCTCTTCCCTTCTGGAGGAAGAACGGTCACCTAAAAGGTGTAGAAATGACACTACCCACCAAATTCTGGTATCTGCTATGGTCCCCTCATTATTAGCAAGCCTGGGCATGTGCAAACTGCCCATGGAGACATTCATCCGTACCATCTCTTTACATCTGTAATCCAGCCACAATGCTGTCTGGAATGTTTAACTGATGACCGACCTCCTCATTCTGCAGCTCAGTAATTACACCACAACATCTCTCATACTCCCATACCAGCAACATGAGCGCCAACTGTCATACACTGTGATAAAAACAAACATACCTGCTTTACATCTTACGGTATAAAGCCTACAGTACAATAGTACGCTCTACCGTAAAATATATTCATTACAAGGAAGACAATCATTTCATGAACATTGTTCTCTGAGAAAAAAAAAATTACATGGAAATACTGCCGTTGCCATCTGGTAGTGACATTTTACATGTGCTATACACAAACGGTGCTATCGCAAATCCGTCTCACATAGTCTTGCTAAGAAAACCAGCGATGCAACATGTGTACCGATTTGACTTTTGCCTTTCCCGCTCAAATTCGACATAAACAAACAGTTGGCACTGGTGAAATGGAACAATGGTTTTTTTTCTTTTCTATACAATTCATACAAAAATAAAAAATTAAAATTGCTCCAATGATAGAATCTTTTCTTCTGATTTTCTTGTTTCCATTTCATTTTGCACAGAGGTAGTGGCTATTCAGGTAAAGGGTAAGGGACAAAGTGGAAATTAAAAATCTGTCATAGAAAATGTTATTCAATTTTGACCAGAGGAATCTCAAAAGAACAAAATATAATACTGCAATCACATATAAAAGTAGTCCTTCATTTTTGTACATTTTATACAGTGTTCACACTTTTTTAAAATCAATTTTCTCTGACGCTTTACCAATTTTTTTTAAGTTTTGTTTTTCTTTAAAAGGCAAGAAGAGGGGTCCGTTTGGAACGGCATGATCCAGGTCAATGGACAGTCTATGCCAGTGGGTCCACGAGGGGCTCCTCATCCCCACGTGATAACAGCTCTTTCTTCTCATCTGTGCTGGCTAGAGAGTTGCGACTGTTCTGAGCTCCCATGTACAGAGTGGCATATACTGGGTTTGTGAAGTTGGTGGGCTGGAAAGGATCAAAAATCACACATTAGAAAATATGTGCAGGAGGTTATGTGTGTGTGTGTGTGTGTGTGTATACCGTATGCACGACTGTTATTTTATTTTTCTCTACCTTGTCTGGGTCCAATGTGAAGTCAGCATCTAAGAGCTCCCCAGCATCATCGTCAGGCTCACCCTCGTAGATCTTGTAGGCAGGGTTCCCGATCTCAACATTCATAGCCCCGTTGGTCATCCTTTGGTGCTGGAAGCCCTTCGCCCTACAAAAAATATTAAAATAGTTATATCTTCAATGTTATTCAAGGTTATAGGAGCCTAAACAGTGCAATCAGGGACACAGCCACATTATGAAGGGAGGGAAGAGACATTGTATTACTCTTATCACCATCCAGGCTGAGGGAACTAAGCCACAACACAGGCACTAACACAAACCCAGCATTCATGTAGCCCAGGACAGATCGATGGCAGAGTGGACATGGACACGGGAGTTTAATGTAAAGGTTGTCCTTTCAGGCCCATGATGGATCTTGTAATATATTCCATAAATATATGTGTTATGAATAACTGCTTTGACTATATCAAGTAAATGCTGGATTTTTCGCACTGCATTTTCCAAGCTGAGCTTGGTAGAATGCTGTTGCAGTGTCTACTGTATGTCTCATCTTAGAGACACTACCACGACACAAACCACAACACGGTACAGTACAATATGGCACAAAATGATGGTCAACAGTATGAGAAATCTACAGCACTGGCTAGAACACAAACAGATCTATTCAGTGCAGCTTTTCAATAGATCTGCCCTGGAGCTGCTCTGAAGAGGGCAAGTCAGTACAAAGGAGAGATACTGTAGGAATGAACGTCAGAGAAAATGGTACAACATTCATCACAGGACCAGGCACTGCACAGCAACCAAGACTCATGAGCAGAGGGAAAGGCAAGAGAGAGCATCGGAATGCAGAACTGAACAGGGGCGTGGAGGGAAAAGTGAAACCCTGGCAACCATTACCGCAAGCGTCTGGAGCCGGTTTTGCCGGGCCTGCTAGACCTGAGGAACAGGAAAACATGTCATTACAGAGAGGAGAGGAAAAGTGCAGATGGAAGAAAGGAAAGAAGGAGGGAACTAGGGAATATAAAGGCAAAAAGAGTTCTGCACTGTCTCCTGCTGTGAATGTGTTCGACTGTTCCTCACCCTCTCATCCTTCTCCTGTACCAGAACAGCGCTCCTCCAACCACAAGAATCAGCAGCAACAGAAGCAGCACTGGGATCACTATAGAGGCTGTGCCTATACACACACACACGTAAAAACAGTGCATGAAGAATTTTAAGCTCATCCTCATCATTTCAAATTCAAGGAACCTCTCATCTGTGTTTAAGTGTTGACTTACGTCCGCCTGAGCCTGGGGCACCTTTGTCGTCAGCCACAGACTCACAGCGATGCCCAACCCAGCCAGGTGCACATCTACACACATGCAAAGTCAGATATTCAGGATATTCAGACTCAAAAGATTACAATTCTGGATGAATACCTGCTGCTCCTCACCTACACTCTGGAAGGCGAGTGACATGGTTTATAGAGCACTGGCCATTTGGACAGTATTCATTTGTGTCACATGTGTAACAGCTGGGCTGGACTCTACCATTTGTGCAGCTGTTGGAGACAAAAGAAAGTGTGAGCGACAATCGGAGAGGCGAGGCAGCTTTGCATGTTTACTTTTCTTTTGTCGGTGTCTGTCTGATGATGGAGCATGTCTGTGAGAGCTCCTACCGGCAGGTGAAGTCCACTGTAGAAGAAAAGCTGCTGCTGGGGATACACTCGCCGTCACGACAATAGTGACACTTGTCAATGTCACATCTGCTGCCAGTGTACTGAGGCAGACAGCGGCATAGCTGAGAGCCATTTTCGCTCTGTAGACATGTACCTTTGTTCAGGCAGTGGCCTTCACAGCTTCCTGCTCACACACATACATAAATATGTACTTACCAACCACATCATCCATCTATTGGTCAGCAGAAGTATTTGAATATTTTTGCATGTCAGCAGCACAATGGGAGCACTCACTATACTGGCACTGGTCGCCCAGGAAGTCAGGGGGGCAGCGGCAGGCCGGCTGATTTCCAGCGCTTACTGTACAGTTGCCACCATTCTTGCAGTAATCCTTACAGGTGTGCAGGTTGCAGTTTGGCCCTGTAAAGCCTGGCAGGCATCGGCAGGTAGGAGAGCCTATGGAAGTACAGACAAACACAGGGATACAGAAAAAAGACAAAGACAGAAAAAATGCGCCATATTAATGGGTCAACAGAAACAAAGATGGCCCACAAAGCCGCATTTTAGCCTATATTGCCTTATTTAAACATTGTACTTAACAATAATATTATCGCCTGCTGTACTAGATAAGAAAGATAATCTTACCTGTAGGTGAAGGTGCACACGTGCCTCCATTCTTGCAGTAGTCCCTGCACTGGTCAATCTCACATCGATCTCCTCCATAATTAGGCTGGCAGCGACACTTCGGCTGCTTGTGGGCATTGAGGAAACAGCTGCCACCATTCATACACTGGACCAAGCAGGGACCACTGGGAGGAGCTGCAGAGGAAAAAAGCATCTCAGTTATGCAAATTAATCCAAATGCCCATAGTGTGGGAGTGTGTGCACTGGTGTCTGTGTGTTTACTCACAGATAGGAGACAGTGTAGGTGCAGGCAGCTCCACACATGTGCCGTTGTCCAGCGTGCGTCCATTGGGACAGGTGCAGACCGGTCCACTGGGGCTCAGCAGACACAGCCATTCACATTTCTTCCTGTCGCAGGGATTAGTCACTGAGAAAAACAGACAGAAAGTCAGAATGAAAAATGAGGAGACATACAGTAACTCCCTGCCTCAGCCCTCTCATCCTCACTGTCTGTATTTTAGTGAACATTACTGCTGTTGAAAGCTTTGTCATTTCTCTACTCACTTTCAGGCTGTTTGTAGCGATGGTACAAAACTATATCTGTTGCATGGTTCATTCCAGTTGTCAGATTTTCAATGAGACCTTTGCCAAATTTATTCACTCGGAAGACATAGTTGTTGATGTAGGTGACACCGTAGACGTGGTCCTCAAACACATCAATGCTGAAGGGATGATGAAGCTCTGTGTAGAAACAGAGGAAACTTAAAGGACGTTTCTCCAGAAGTATACATGCTAAAATCCTGCATTGTCTGCACACATCAAATTGGACCGGAGTCCCGACCGATGAAGACCAATCATCACCATGAAC